ACACTGCCTTTTACTCACAAATCATTTGATGCATTTAAATGTCTGTGTTTATATAAGATCCCATCTTGGCAGCTGATAAAAGACTGAATTGCATATTTAACACTCTGGAATTTGACTGTTAAAAAAAAAAACCTGACCGCTAGTTTGGGTTAAAAATGGAAGCTGTGAGAGATGAAAGGACACTCTGAGCTGTGCCATAATCCTTCTCAAACACAAAAGCTCCTCTCGAGGTTTTGACAGACACGCTGCTGTTAACAGCACAATAGGTCTGGGCCTATGAACTCCATATGAATACCAAAAAAGATAAAACTAAATATTTCAAAAGGTCAGCATATCCTGTTTTATTGTCAAAGGAGCAAACAGTTCCTTCAAAAATACACGCAAAGCTAAAAAAAAAAAAATAAGGCCAAACTATGGCCTTGAATTCATAAGCAGTGATTAAACTATAACTCTGCAGTGAACAATCACTAACATCAGCTTAAACAAAAATCAAACCACAGACAAAACACTGAAGTCATCTGACTCTGCATGCGGCATAAACAATAATTAATCTAAAGAGCCAATCAAAGCAGAGCAAGGGTTACTGTGGTTGCATCATCAGCACCTGGACTGTGTAAAGCACCTGAGTGCCAGAGTAAACATTACCACTGTCACATGCTAGTTTTGACCCCGTATGCTCATGGAGGTAGAGGATTGGATCATGAATGATCTATGTATTTTAAAGAAAATGTAAATTACACTTGCCAATGCAAAACTCACACTGCTTGCACCACAATGCTAGCGTGTTATGGGAGGTTACTAAGGTGTTTGGGGTAGTTTTAGCACATTGTTATACAGTTGCTGGGTGGTTGCTTACTTGGACAAATCTCTACAAAAGTCTGGTTCCAAAATATGAATCTGTCCCACCTTTAATAAAGGATCTGCTTGACCATTTTATAGTCTTCCAAGTGAAAACAATAAATCCTCAAGTTGCATGATCCGAGAGGCCTATAGCATCAATCAGCGGTGGCGAACTCCGGTCCTGGAGAGCCGCAGTCCTGCAGAGTACAGCTCCAACCCTAATTAAAACTCACCTGCCTGTAGCTTTCTAGTAACCCTTGAGACCTTGATTAGCTTGTTCGGGTGTGTTTGATTAGGGTTGAAGCAAAACTCTGCAGGGCTGCAGCTCTCCAGGACCGACGGTCGCCACCCCTGGCATAAATGCTGAAGAACAAGTAACATGACATTTAACAACTTGTTTTAATCTCAAACCGCACGTATGAGCAATAGTAATAACAATATTTGCTTTTGTAAGCCCTTTTAAATTAGGGATGCACATATAATACAATTCAAGAATACAGATAAGAGAATAATACATTTTGTTCATTATTTTAATTGTTATGGCAGACAAACCAAAAAACTGTAATAAAAAATGCTTTAAAATAACTTTTAAAAACATATATTTATTTAAATATATACTTCTAGAATGAAAATTTCCTGAATTTACTCACCCCCATGTCATTCAAGATGTTCATGTCTTTCTTTCTTCAGTTGAAAATAAATTAAGGTTTTTGAGGAAACATTATGGGTTTTTCTCAATATAGTGGACTTCAATGGTGGTTGAAGGTCCAAATTGCAGTTTCAATGCAGCTTCAAAGGGCTCTACACAATCCCAGCCGAAGAATAAGGGTCTTATCTAGCAAAACGATCAGTCATTTTCTAAAGAAAAATTTTATTTATATATGGGATTGTGTAGAGCCCTTTGAAGCTGTTGGCTACCATTGAAGTCTATTATATGGAGAAAAGTCCTAGAATGTTTTCCTCAAAACTTAAATTTCTTTGTTACTTAAGAAAGAAAGGCATGAACATCTTGGATGACGTGGGGGTGAGTAAAATAAATTATCAGGAAATGTTCATTCTGGAAGTGAACTACTCCTTTAAATATCCAATACTAAATATCCAATAATAAAATATACAAAATATCTAGAATTTACCACACTTCTAGAAGTTGACTTTAATGGAAGCGTTTCCGTAAAAAAACTCAATAAGCCTAACATCTGATAACCATGAGAACTGCAAATCCTTTCTCTGTCCAAGGCTTCATTACTGCTGCATCACACTCTAGACAAGTCACATCAATTTAAGAGACGCTGATCCCATTAAAGCTCTGAGGCTGATCTCTCAATCTCAAATCCATTAGAGCACACCAAGGATAAATAGACAACTAAGAGAAACACAAAGGCTTCCAAACCAGCAAGCACTGATCAGATCCAGCCCCACAAGAAGTGTGTTCGGACCCTTTTTGAAATGCACTGTACATCAACACATGCTGCAGTGTGCTTTACTGCGATTAAAGCCAAAAATCTGAACGTCCACGTGAAGACGACCAGTAGGTGCGGCTGTACAGAGGGAGGAAGGGAGATGACTGCATTATCAGCCGCCAGCAGAGGCAAGGTTTGCCTGGTTTCTATGGCAACAAAGGGGCTGGTCCTGCTGTGATGTTGTGCGGGAAGAAAAGGTGGAACAAAGATGCATTACATACATGCTATTAATTATGAATGAGAGCGACATAAAACAACAGAAAGGGAGAGAGAGAGAGGTCAACATTATCTTTCTGCTGCAGCATGTGTGCACTTTCAAACATATAAACTGAAACGCTCTTTAGGTGCCATAGAAACAAAACACACACAGTGTAAGTGTCACTGCAGCACATCTGATATCAGCGGACTCTGAATGAGAGTGACCTGCGGTCTCTCTTCATGCCGTTCCACATCAAAGCCACAACAGCAGGAGAATTGTTTTACTGCTCATGCACTAATTTTTGATGATGATTCCCTATGTAATGATCAGGCAACACTGCTGTGTGGTCAAGCTGAATCTAAAAATACTGTATGACACCAGCAATAAAAGACAATAATTTCTAGAGTATTCCATTCATAAAAACCGCATCACATGAGAGCAGTATCACTGAGGATTACAGCATGTTACCACACAAATATCAAGCACTTCATACAGTGTGACTTCACAGCAAGAAACTGCAAAATACTCTAAAAATGGCAACAGGATGGACACTTTATTGTAAAGACCCTATGAAATAAAAATTGAGCATTTGAGTTTTGAGCATTTTTTTTCATTAGCTAGAAGCCATCTAAATGTTAGTGTACTTATAAACATTGACAAAATTTACTCAAATGCTCTCTAACGTGAGCATATCCTTATATTTTTTATAAATATTTAAAACACACACACACACACAAACAGATTTATTTAAAAATAAAGCATTTTAAATTAAAATAAAAAATTTTACTTAAAAAATAAAAAACTATATGTATTTAAAACGATATCATTATGTTTATTTAAAAATTTCATTATAATAAAAAAAATTTGAAATATTTTTGAAAGGAAATTCTTTTCGATATGTCCCACCCAAAGCTCAAATACAGTACAGTAAAAATAAAAATAAAAACAGTAAAATAAATGCAATACAGAAAAGAAAACGGTACTCCTCAGATTTCCTGGGGTCTTTAACAATCAATCTGTTAGAAACCAAAGCCCATACTTAAAATATGAGTCTCTTCTAATGTTTTGTAGGGTCACTTCACAAGTTCCAAAAAGAGCTGACCTATACATGTGCCTGCTAATGTGACAAACTGCTGTAATGTTCACTGAATTATTCATTACAGTCCATTTAATACAGCAGGGGCATCCTTTAATTAAAGCCTCGGGAAACATATACGCCTGGTCAGCGTTTTGACGTCTGAGATCCAAAGTCCTCTGAGCTTTAATGCACCAGTAGTTTAGTAACCATGCGGGTTAGAGAGGAGAGCTTGCTGCACGCTTCCAAACAGATCTCAGACTCCAAACATCCACTGCTGGGAGCCCCCTCCTCTTTCTGTAACTCCCTCCCCTCCTCCACTTCCCTTCTCACCCTCCTTTCAGTCTTTCAGGAGTTTTCCCGCTCTGCCGGGCAGAAGGCCTTTGGAGAGAGAGAGAGAAAAGAAGAGAAAAGCAAAGCAAAGGAAAGAAAGAGGACAGCAGAGCTCCAGCAGTGGAGAGGAATTCGAATAATTCCAGTTTGATTACTCAAAGATCCAAGGGAGGACCGGATTCCTTCGCTTCAGTTTATATTGGAAATGACTAAGAGTTTAGTCTTAAGCAGCAAACCAACGACAAATAGATCCTAACACCATCTCTGGTTACAATAAACAGACTGATTCATGTGTGGAGTTCAAATATGAAACTCTGTTATGAAGGCAAAACAATGCAGCAGTAGATAAAGAAATAAAAGGCGGTTTCATCCATTCAAAGGGTATTAAATACAATGTCCTTTCTTAACAGACATAACTCTGGCAGAGCACATTTGAGCTCTTTTGGCTCTGTTCGATGCAAGTGTGGGTTACTCTGTATCCTGGACCGGACGGCTTTCCTGCAGTCGGGATTGGGAACTGCAGATGTACATTGTTGTCGGTTTCCCATGCAAACCCGCGTGCTTTGTGCATTTGGCTGAGGGAGTAAACTCTTATCTCTTTATTTTTGTTACATATAATCATAACAATCTAAAAGGAGCAGCACATAGACAGATATTGAGTGATATTGAGAAAACGCCTCCACCCATCTGACATTCACATGGACATAGTGTCATCAATGGCTGAATCGTATCTCTGACATTGTTAGACATATTAAGGTGGTCGCTTTGACTGTGAATTGTTTACTTATCAAGAGAAAACAGAATTATGACTCAAATTACAGCAGAAGCCTGTAGTTTGGGAGGTGTAACGTTAGTGTGAACATTTAGGACTGACAGACTCGGTCACCATTCACTTTCATCACATCTTTTTACCATATATTGAAAGCATAAGGTGACAGAGTGTATCGTTCTCTCTAAAATATCCTTTGTATTCAAAAACGAACATTATTCGTAGAGGTTTGTATGAGTATATGATGACAAAATGTTCATTTTTGGGTGCGCTATCTCTTTAATCTTTACTCCAATGATTGGAGTTTTTAAATCAGGCTCTTACCTTCACAAAAAGCTCGATGACGGGTTCGTTATCCCCCTTTACACCGTTCTGAGGTACCGAGAGAGCCATCCCCAACTTTTGCCTTTAGACTCGTTAGCAAAAACAACAAACCTCGATTTCTTCACCTCGGCACAAAAAGTTTTCCTTTCACGCCTCCCTCTTCCTCGAGCACAAATATCACTCTGCGGTTTTTCCAAGCGCAACCGAAATGCAGAGTCCGTTAAAATATATTAAAAAATGCCCTTTTCTTCCCACGAGGTCCCGCTGCCTAGAAACACATCACTGAAAACCCCGACAGAGCCCGCTATGCCTCCTCTGCTGCGCTCTCAGGATGGCGACGGAAAAAGCGGAAAGCAACCGGAGTATTTAAGGCGGTGATGTCATGCGCAGAGTGAACGGAACGGGCGCGCGCAGAATCGGTATAGAGGACCACCCCGCGTGCACTAGAGAGCTAGCGCTTCCCCATGTTTCATACTACTGCTGATTTGGATAGTAAAGTTATTTGACTTGCATTATAAGGACAATACGAGTCATGTTGTACGGCTACTGAAAAAGCGTGTTACAGCACAAAGAAGTCACTTTTTTAGGGAGTAACGCAATATTGTAATGCATTACTTTTAAAAGTAACTTTCCCCAACAGTGTCAATCAGTTTCAGTAAGCGAGTTTACCCGTAAATATATTTAGGCCTAATAATTTCGTTAAAATTGTAGAATATTTTGGTGGGAAACTGGTTGGCGTGGATTTTTGAATGTTTTGATTCAAGTGATTCGAATCTTGTGTTCACTGGTCCATTAGTTTCCTTTTCTGTACGTTACCATTATACCAGTAGGTGGCGACAATTGACCATATGCACGATTACTTCCTGGTTTCAGATAAGCCAGCTCAGTCATTTCCGGTTAACTGTGCCTTAAGGAAGCGCCCTTTGCTCGGTTTCTCTACATAATCCATTCACAATTTGGAGAAAAGTTTTGCTTGTCTAAGAGAACCAAATGTCCACATATACCGTTTCAGGAATGACAAACACGAATGTTAAATTTACGCGAGTGAATCATGCGCGAGTCATTGCTATGATTGACAGCGGCAACGGAATGAATCATCTGACCAGCCGATGTCAAAACAGAGCTGTGCATTAAGTGATTGAGACTCAATTCAGACTAACAAAACTACAGCAGCAACAAGTCTGTGTTGGATCAAACTTAAACGATGTAGTTAAATTATTACATTTAAACATTTCAAAATATTGAATTCACTATTTAATTCTTATACTTATTTAATTTGTAACTATGTAGGTATTTAAATAATTCAGCATTATAGGCTGTTGTCTGGCCTTATTATTATTTTTTTTTAAATGACAAGTGACTTTGTGACTTCTTGCACTTTATATTCAGTGCGATAAAGTACTAACATTTGTTGTAATATTTTTTTTATTATAGGGTAAATCAAAAAGCAAGACATGAAAAAATCAGGGAGTTGAAATGGCAGCTGCAGCCAATGAGCCCAAGGGCAAAGTGATTAGGCTATATATATTTCGTTTAGTTTTTTATTAAGTTAATTTAGGAAAACGTTTGGAGCATTTTTTGTTTGTTAAGTAAGTTTTTGTTTTTTAGACCAAGCGGCCAGCGGCAGACAGTGAGCTGATCATAGCCTGGTCATATAACATAGCATGTTTGATCAGTTTAGCCTTCTCAAATCATCACGACTTGCCTAAAATAAAATCTATAGATATAGAACAGTTCAAATAACAACGTTTAAACGTTAAAGCAAGATAAATGTGCGCTGTTAGACGCATATCCAATAGTTTGTGTGGAGAGTGGAAGCTAAAGCGTGGAGGCGCCAGCGAGATCACTTGCATTTTTTTTCAGTGGAAACAACTTTAAATAGCCTATGCGCAGGGAGTTGAAATGGCAGCTGCAGCCAATGAGCCCAAGGGCAAAGTGATTAGGCTATATATATTTCGTTTAGTTTTTTATTAAGTTAATTTAGGAAAACGTTTGGAGCATTTTTTGTTTGTTAAGTAAGTTTTTGTTTTTTAGACCAAGCGGCCAGCGGCAGACAGTGAGCTGATCATAGCCTGGTCATATAACATAGCATGTTTGATCAGTTTAGCCTTCTCAAATCATCACGACTTGCCTAAAATAAAATCTATAGATATAGAACAGTTCAAATAACAACGTTTAAACGTTAAAGCAAGATAAATGTGCGCTGTTAGACGCATATCCAATAGTTTGTGTGGAGAGTGGAAGCTAAAGCGTGGAGGCGCCAGCGAGATCACTTGCATTTTTTTTCAGTGGAAACAACTTTAAATAGCCTATGCGTCATTTTTGCTCATAAAGAGTAATACATGATTCGGAACTGCAAAGTGTCTACTTTTTTGTGTGCACTCACAATATCAACAAAACGTTGTGCTTTTATACTGCCGTTTCGGTCTTGAAAAGGAGCGCTTCACAAAAATGAACCGAAACTCAGCAAATATGATATTATATATATTTATCACAGACATGATAAATATATCTATAGAAAGCTTTAAATGACTACTTAACGAAACTTTTGCTGGTGCTTTGCGGCGAGCTTAAGCCTATTGCGTGCATTTGAACGCAGAACTCTTCAGCTGCGCTGACGGCACGCACATGCTGCTCTGCTGCTGCTGCTCTGCTGCTGATGCTGCTGCTCTGCTGCTGCTGCTGCGCTGCTGCTCTGCTGCTGTGCTGCTGCTCTGCTGCTGCTGCGCTGCTGCTGCTGCTCTGCTGCTGCTGATGCTCTGCTGCTGCTGCTGTGCTGCTGCTGCTGCTGCTCTGCTGCCGGACACTAAACACTGTCGAGCACGGTCTCGTGTTGTTTCCACCAGCGCGGCTATTTTTTCATCACTAATTGATGGATGTCTAAGATATTAAAATAACGAGAAGCCTAAAACATGAATGAAAAGTGAACCTTTAATAAAGTGAATTTTACTGATGAAAAATAATAAAGGCCTTCAAATTTAAAAAATGTATTCATGGCTATAAGGTAAGATATTGATTATCGAGAATACCATTACGATGTCATTTAAGAGATTAGACTAACTGCCTAAACAGTTACGATAGTGTTTATTTGTCAGCATTTAAATGTACAGTTATGTGTCTGAGCATACTTTTCTGGGATTACCAGACTCTGCATATAAATTTATATGTTCTTTAATAACATAAAACAGTATGTTAATTCCACTATCATTATTTATGGTGTTGCAATTATTTTGTTTCTCAGTTTCTGATAAGAAAGAGGCAGGAGAGGTTTCTGTGAGAGTCTCGCATATATAAAATGAGCTTCACCGGAAGATTATGAGCTGGCTTATCTTTATCCGGAAGTTCTAAATAGCGCACCGTGCATATGGTCAATTGACGTTATCATTGAGTAATTCACTTCGTACACACAGGTAGTACAATTCGAAAACAAAAAAATTATACCTTTCAAATTATGCTTTATTAACGTCTACACCAATCCTAAACCTTCCCTATCAGTAATGCAAATACAGTAATTATTGTTGTTCAGCATGAGAAAAATGACCCAATATTGATGTGCCCGGGTAAGATAAATTGTCAGGACACCAGCATGTCTGTTGCAGATGGTGTTGCCTTTTATGAGTAACTGCCAAAATCAACTTGCATTAAATTATAAATATAGAACAAAAGAAACAACAAAATGCTACGGATCATAACATATTAATGCAGCGTAAATATAGAAACTAGTACTAGTTCCAGATTAAACTTGTGGTTATCTGATAAACCCAAAAATGTGGTGGGTAAAATAGCAGAGTTTTAAATAATTTTTCTTTTAAACCGAAAAAAGTTAAGACTAATCAAACATACATTGTGAGGGTAATTTGGTTAGCCATATTTGTACACTCATTTGGCGTCTCAGTTCCTTGAAGAAACCCCCCCCCCCCCAAAAAAAAAACAGCAAGTATTTCTGTTAAGGGCTTTGTTATTAACAATGATCTTCCAGCACACTGCACAGAGAAACACAGCTGATCCAGAAACAAAGCTCTCCATCACTTAGTCTGACCTCTAGGGACTCTTGAACACCTATGTATTCCCACAGCTGCCTGTGGCCAGTTAGGAAGCAGGTGGCACTATAAAATAACAACCAGGGCATAAATATTGTTGCCTTGGGCTGTTTTTGCAGATCAGTCCTTGTTAACCGCACTACACAATAAGAACTCACTGAGCTTTCATTTGTGGCTACTAAAGATTTGTCACCAAGTGTTGCCAAGGTGACGACACAAGATAACACATGTACAGCAGTTGATTATCATGTGTCATCACCAGACCTGGAACACCACAGGCTTTCCACAGAACATATGTAAAACAGCCTTGTATGCATCCCAAATGTAATGCAATCAATGCTCTCATACTGGCTGGGTTTCTCATTTAGCCACTTTTGTTTAAAAGAGAATAATCAAATTGCACATGTAAACATGCAATTTTTATACAATTTAAAGAAGGATTTGAGACAAAAATATTTTTTTCATTTTAATGTGACTTTGTTCAAAGCCAGAAATTACTGCAGGGATCAACAATTTCAAACACAACTTAGGTTACAAAAAATATAAAGCAAAAAATAAAGGATGAAAACAGACTTCACTGATTTGTTCTCATGTGCACAGTAGACCTCAAGCACTGCCACAATGCTCAGGTAAACAGAGAGCAGCCTGCTGGATCAGCTCTCTGGGTGTTTTGGTTTATGGATCATGCACACAAGAGGACAAACAGGCTGGAGTCTGCTGTCCACGCAAACAAAACTCTCGTAAAAAGTCCTGCTGAAGTAAAGAGAGAATTCATAGGCTAACTTGTGCATTATTAACTGTAAATATGCTTTTCAAATTGTTTCATCATGACCATAAAAGCAACGCAGGGGGTCGGGGAATAAAAAAGGGGTTTGTTTTTCGAATAAAGTTGTTGACAGTATTTAAGGGGGGAAAGGAGGGCAGAATCTGATGAAGAAATTTCAGCTGCTCAATCATTTCCACATAATAAAACTCCTCAGCAATAAGCATGCCAAAAAAATCCAAACAAACAAAAGTCTAGGGTGAATTTTAACAATTTGTACATTCTAAAGCTGAACCAACATCAAACATTTAAAATGCAGAGAGTGGAAGAGAAAGAGGGAAATGTGGGGTGTGATGGATATTTCCTCAGGACTGAGATGATGGGGACATCTGGGCCTTCCTCATTGAGCGGAGAGCTTTCTCACGTAGTTGCTTCTCCAGATCATCCAAACTGTCTTCTACTTCACTCTCTGATTCCTTCAGGAAAGGTAGCATTAATTATGTCCGACTCAGGGATAATATTGTTTCACAATATAGACACCATGTAAAATCTTCTCTTTGAGAGAAGTTCTTCTTGTTAAAGTTGCAGTCAAAGGTCTCCAGTCCATATAGACTACCGTTCAAAGTTTTAGGGTAAGCAAAGTAAAAAAAATTTGAGTTTTACTCAGCAGGAATGCATTAAAATTTATCAAAAGTGACAGTAAAGACATCTCTAAATGTTTCAAAAGATTTCTGTAGCATTTTTCAACTATTTCAAATAAATGCTGTTCTTTCTAACCTTCTGCAAAGAACTGTGAGAAAGTATCAGCTTCCACTAAACATTAAGCAGATCTGTTTTCAACATTGATTGGAAATTATTCTTGAGCACCAATTTAGCATATTATAATTATTTCTGAATCATGTGACACTGAAAACTGAAGTAACAGCCACTGAAAATTCAGCTTTGCCATTATAGGAATAAATTACACTACAGTCTTTTTTTTTATCAAGTAAACACAGCCTTGGTGAGCATAAGAGACTTTTAAAATACAAACACAAACCCCAAAATATATGAATGGTAGTGTATTAAAAAAAGATGGTAATTGTGGAGATACATTTATATTACTGGAGAAACCAGACTATTTTATATTGACTGTTCATACAGCTTTAAAAGTGTAACTTCACCTTTTTCTGATCAGAATCTGGCTCTGCTTCCTGTCCGTGTCCTCCTGCCGCCCCTCCACTCTTTTCTTCTCCACTCTTCTCCTTTTTCTGTTTCTTATGCTTCTTGTGTTTCTTCTCTTTCTTGTGTTTCTTTTCTTTCTTCTTTTTCTTCTTCTTACTACCTTCTGCATCTGAGTTCTAGAGAACCAACAAATAAATCATCTTGACTTCAAGCAAAACCATTCCATATAAAAAGCAGCAACACCATAAGCATCACAGTGATTTTAATACTTTTGGCAGTAGCTTTCCTAAATACAGCTGGATCCATTTAAAAAAGACAAATCTAGTTTAAGAAGCTCTCTGGACTCAAGCAGTCTAGGGGAAGTGAGACTTTTTGGGCAGGTGTGATGTACCTTGTTAGGTGATGGGCTCGGGGAGATGCTGCTGTTCTTTTTGGCAGGTGGAGGTGGAGAACGGCTAGCAGAGCGAGAAGGTGAGACAGAAGCAGGCCGCTTGTGAGCCGTTGGAGCAGGAGGAGGAGAAGCAGATGGTGAATGTGAAACCTGCCTCCTTACTGGCTGGGGGCTCTGAGAACCTCTACAAATTGACAGGAATACATAGTAATTGAGAGATCATCACGCCTGTGTTACACAGATAGAAGGGGCACTATAGAAAAACATACCTCTGAGATTTGCTTGGCTCTGGTGTGCGGGAGACCCTGCGAATGGGTCTGGTGCTATGAGACGGGGACGTCTGACGTCTTTGTCTCTGTGGGGATGAACCAGAGGGGCCGTATCGGGCCGGAGGACTGGAAGACACTCGAGTGCTGTGGGGAGAAGAACGAGTATCTCTGCCTCTGCCTTGGGCTGCAGGGGGACTTCTACGGTGGCGGGGTGGGGGTGAAGCAGAAGAGGGAGGAGTACGTCTTTTTCCTGGACTACTGCCACGACTCCGTTTCGGGGATCGAGAGGGGCGACGATTGGCCACAGGAGAAGGCGACCCTCTACGCTTGGCCACGGCTGAGGGAGATCCTCTGCGTTTAGCAACAGGCGAGGGAGATGCTCTGCGTTTGGACACAGGTGAAGGAGACCCTCTATGCTTAGCAATGGGTGAGGGAGATGCTCTGCGCTTCACAACAGGTGAGGGAGACGCTCTGCGTTTGGACACAGATGAAGGAGACCCTCTACGCTTGGACACGGGCGATGGAGACCCTCTGCGTTTTGAAACAGGGGAAGGAGAACCTCTACGTTTTGAAACAGGTGAAGGAGAACCTCTACGTTTTGAAACAGGTGAAGGAGACTCTCTCCTTTTGGACAAAGGTGAAGGAGACCCTCTACGCTTGGACACAGGGGAGGGAGACCTTCTGCGCTTGGGAGGAGACCCTGATGAGCGTCTCTTTTGAGCTGGGGGAGGGGAGGGACTGTATCTGCGCTGTATAGGGGGAGTGAAGCGCCGGTGAGGTGGAGATGGAGATCTGAGACAGGAAGGACAGGAGAAAGGGATGAAGAATGAGTCAGTCAAAGAGTCTTCAAAACCCAAAACCACAGAAACTTGGTTGGATTTTACCTGCGTCTTGGGGGAGGAGAGGGTGACCTACGGCGGCGAACAGGAGAAGGTGAACGATGTCTCCGGCCAGCAGGTGACGGAGAACGTCTCTTTCTGGAAGAAGAGAGAAAGGGAGTCTAAACTCAGTGTTCCACAGTAATAAAGAATCTTTCAGTTAAGAGTGAACAACAGGGCTGGGTATGGATTCTGATTCACAAGGCCAAATTTGATTCAATTTAATTCAGTTCAGTTATAACCTCAGATTTAAGTCTGATAATTCTACCAAAAATTTAAATTGTCAATTTACTCAACTACATGTCAATCAAAACCCATATAACTTTCCTTTATTTTCAAAACACAAAATATGTTTAACGAAACCCAAGTAAACCCGTTCTCACATATGATGCAAGCATGTTTGAGCTTCTGCAAAAAGCAAAGAGGTTTGTTCATGTGTGACAAGCAAATCATGGATTACTTTTACAATATCTTCAAAGCTGTCAAACATTTTGGATGAATAGACTTTCAATTGAGGCACAGAAATCAGGTTACACTAAAAGTATTTTAGTTTTAGTTTTTTTTTTATTTTTATAAATGACAGTTTTACAAGTCTTGAACGACATTAGGGCATGTAACGACAGAATTGACATATCTTTAAATGGACTGGTTCCCTAGAGTCAGTCAGAGTAGACTGGTTGCACTGCATAATTTTGATTCCCTAAAAATAACTAGTTTCATTTCATAGTCATTTGTTCATAAAACTGTATTGCTCGTGCTGTATGTTTATAGCAAGAATTCCAACTCAGTAGAAAGATGCCGTTTCCTGCCATTATTTTTTTAACTTAGGCTTTTTTTTTTTATTTATCACATTCAATCTGAATTGAAAAACAGTGGCACTAAGTAAGCGTCTACAGGAATCAATAGCAATTAAAATCCAAGAAATTAATCTGAAAAATCTATTTATTATCCTAAAGTGAACAAAGCATCTGAGTAGTGACCTTAGGAGGTTAACCTGCTTACATTTTCAAATGAAAATGTAAAGTAAATGCAAATATTGTTGCTTTTCACCTTGGGGATGCATCTCTGTGCCTTCTCCGTGGCGATGCAGGTGAATGGCTCCGCCGCCTTCTGATTTCTCCGTTCCTGGTACCTGCCCCCCTATTCTGTCTCCTCGGACCTTCGTCTTCAGAGGAAGAGGATGAACCCGAGTCTGTAAGCAAACCGACATGGTTATCAGTACTAAATCGAACATCTACTAGCATAAATCTCCCACAACAAACAATTAATTATTGCAAGCACAGGTGTGAGAGGAAGAGAGAGAGAGAGAAGGGAAGTGAGGACAAACGAGTGTGATGGATCATAAAAAAAAATAGTGGTAACCTGAAGAGGACTGCTGATTCTGTCTGCGATACTGACGTCGCTGCTGGACAGAATCTGCTGTTGACCCTTTGCCCACCTTCTCCTCCTCTGAAACGCAAAGCAGTGGAGTCCTTCAGTGCCCAAGAAACAGCCATGTGCCCACCATCACACACTCATGATCATCAAAAAAATAGTGACACACACACAAACCCATAACATGCACCCTCCCCTCATCTTTGTAATTAACAGAAGAGACTCATGAAACACGAGCTGCAGAATCCATAACATCAGTTCATGTTATTTCAACACAATCTGCAAGTGTTTTCACGTAAACCTTTCTGACATGCACACAAATCCATGTTGAAGAACCAAATCTCACCGGACTCTGATGCATCAGACCGCCTGGGTTTAGGAGAAGGAGAGCGAGAGTCATTTCTTCCACCAGGCCTGTGCTTCACAGCTGAAATTTAGATGCGTTATAGTCAGAATCATTTAACGGCTTAATATCCTACAAGCAACATAGCATTGATGAGGAACCATTTCTGATTTACACAAATAATCAACTATAATCTGAAGTAAATTTATTTTAAAATCACATTTAAGTCATTTCAAATTGCAAATAACAAAGGTTTAAGAATGCAACCTGAAGGGCTGGTGTCTGGTCCTGAAGGACTACGACCTCGTCTTCTGGCAGGGCTGGAGGGGTCAGAGCGACGTGGAAGTTTTCTGGGCGGGGTAGCTGACCCACGTTTCCCTGCTCTCTTATGGGGTGACCGAGAGGAGGAACTACCAGAGGAGGACCGGGAGCGAGAGCGCCGTCTGGTGGACAAACAAGTTCAGGTAAACACCAAAGTTGACCTAACTTTTAGAAGTTCATGTGAAGACAAGACTGTATCTAGTAATAAAGTTGAGTAAAAAGGCATGAGAACATTTACAAAACTCAATGACACATCAGTGTGGCTTTACAACACCGTTTAAAAGTTTAAATATTTTTGGAAGACTTATGCTCACCCAAAGTGTATTTATTTGATCAAAAATGTTATGTATGAAACGATTACAATTTTAAAATTAGTTTTCATTTAGATATTTTGAAATGTAATTTATTCCTGTGATGGAAAATCTTCATTTTCAGCATCCATTACTCCAATATTCAGTGTCTTATGCTGTGCTGCTTAATATTTTTGTGGAAACCGTGATAATTTTTTCAAGATTCTTTGTTTAATAGAAAGTTCAAAAGAACAGCATTTATATGAAATATAAATTTTGTAGCACTATAGTCAAGTCTTAATTGTCAATGTAATGCATCCTAGGTGATTAAAAGTATTTCTTTCTATTTAAAAACAAACAAAAAAAACACTGACCTGTGGACAGGTGAACGGCTACGTCTATGCCTAGAGGGTGGTTGCCGTCTAGGAGGGCTCCTACGTCTTGGAGAGATTCGCCTCCTGGGACTAGTTCTGCGACGCGGAGAGAACGACCTAGAGGCAGAGACATTACCTTAAACCCTAGTTCAATCACATTAGCAGGTAAACAAAAGGATCTAGGAAAAGAAATCACATGGCTTTCACCATCAGAGACAAGACTTACCTAGAGCGGGATCGAGGTCGTCTACGAGAGCGAGGTGAACGAGAGCGGTGACGTGGGCGATCTCTACGTCCATCCTTCTCTCTGTCCCTGTCTCTGGGTTTGGGCCTGTCTTCCGATTTGGATGTTTTATCTGGAGATGACTCTTTCACAGCCTCAGACACGGAGTCCGGCTTCATGTCACCCACAAGATCACTGACAGGTATAACGGAGAAAAAAAATGTCAGTCTATAAATTCATCCTGCAGAAAGGCAATTTTATGCACTATTTTAGTCAAATAAAGTCACTCAAGACGGAACTTGCATTAATGAACATTTTGGATTCATATGCAAAGTCCTTTTTTGTCAAAGACAGCTTGAAGGACTAATATATTAGGATGCTGTAGTGCAATGTCAGGTCTCCACATTTACCTAGTAGAGGAAGCCTCCTGAACGAGCGGCTCTGGTTTGGAGCTCTCTGATTGGTCCGGTTCTTGCTTTGGTTCTTCTTTATGATTGGGCGGACTGGAAGGCGGCGAGGCAGCCGGGCTCGGTTTTCGGCGAGGAGATCGAGAGGGACTGGACTTACGGTCACGCTTCACAGGCGAGCGGGACTTCCTCCTGGGAACAAAAGTGAATTGAGAAAAGAAAAAAAAACAGTTAAGCACAAGGCTAATTTACAATATTATTCATTATTCACACTGACAATTTATTAAAGTCACTGTAAAAACGAAAATTGACAATTTTATTGTTATTTTGCAATGTTATATTTTTATAGAATACTGCAGTGTTTATTACAGATGATTTATCCGTGCGCATTTTTTTTTTTTAATTCATGCGTTCTCATAATCTTTAATAAAAACTTGTAACAGGTTGCAGAAATTAGCAAATGATTGGATTGATATCAACTCCAGATGGACAAAGTCAAGTCCCAACCTATATTTTTTTCATGTTCAAGAAGTTTCATGCTGACTGGCAGCAAAAAGAAATCCAAAACCAACCTTTTAGGGCTTTTTGACTGAGCTCTTTCTTTGCTCTCCTTCTCTCTTTTATCTTCATCTATTTTTTTCAGAGAGGCAAGTTTCTCCTGTTCGATCTGAACATTAAAGAGAAGAAAAACTGTTAAACACTCAACTTGATGAGTTTACAAAAGGGCCTTTCGCACCGCTTTAGTTCCAGAACTAAATGTACAGTACTAAAGTACTGGGATGATTTTGCGTGAACTATTTCCCCGTACCATTTAAAGGGTTGCATTCTCACCGACAGTGTGTACTAAGAAGTGACGTAAGCCGGTCGACAGCGTCGTCATTTGTGCGCGGCGTTCAACAACAGAAACAAAGAAGAACAACATTAACAACAGGAGGATGGAGGACGCTGTGATCGGAGCTGTGTTTTTCTTGTGTCTCGCGGGTTTCACAATAATGGACATGGAATGTCGACGTACACGTAAAGCGATTGAAAGAACGGAAAGGAGGACTAAGAATCTCCAACGACAACTGGCAGTGCTACATTTGCTACAAGTGCCTGCACTTCAGCATCCATCCAGCTATCGCTGTTCTCCATACTTGCGAAATAAGTTGATAATGTTTATACAGCGTTTTAAATCATGCCAGTTGAGTGCGTTTTCATACGCGCTTGGCCAATCAATGTCTACTTCCGTCACAATTAGTACCAGTTGTGCTGGTTAGACCCTGCTCCGGAGTAGGAGCTAATTTGGTTCTC